CGAAACAGAAGTATGGTACAGTGTCATTTATTTTTGGCAAGCTTTATCTATTACCAAATTTTATAGGTGCAATATGTGTTTTGCGTTCATGTTTCGCAGTGTACTGGTGCCTTGGTCAAGATGTGTCGAGATTGAGGGTGACGTGGCCAAGGTGTGTCGCGGTAAAGTGTGTACACCGTCAGGGGTGTTATAGTAAGGGATTAGTTACTACCGACAAAGGGTGACGTGGCCAAGGTGTGTCGCGGTAAAGGGTGTACACCGTCAGGGGTGTTACAGTAAGGGGTTATTTACTACCGACACAGGGTGACGTGGTCAAGGTGTGTCGAGGTAAAGAGTGTACACCGTCAGGGGTATTACAGTAAGGGATTATTTACTACCGACACAGGGTGACGTGGCCAAGGTGTGTCGCGGTAAAGGATGTACACCGTCAGGGGTGTTACAGTAAGGGATTATTTACTACCGACACAGGTTGACGTGGTCAAGGTGGATCGCGGTAAAGGGTGTACACCGTCAGGGGTGTTACAGTAGGGGATTAGTAACTACCGAAACAGGGTGACGTGGTCAATGTGTGTCGCGGTAAAGGGTGTACACCGTCAGGGGTGTTACAGTAAGGGGTTATTTACTACCGACACAGGGTGACGTGGTCAATGTGTGTCGCGGTAAAGGGTGTACACCGTCAGGGGTGTTACAGTAAGGGATTATTTACTACCGACACAGGGTGACGTGGTCAATGTGTGTCGGAGTAAAGGGTGTACACCGTCAGGCGTGTTACAGTAAGGGGTTATTTACTACCGACACAGGGTGACGTGGTCAATATGTGTCGCGGTAAAGGGTGTACACCGTCAGGGGTGTTACAATAAGGAGTTATTTACTACCGACACAGGGTGACGTGGTCAAGGTGTGTCGCGGTAAAGGGTGTACACCGTCAGGGGAGTTACAGTAAGGGGTTATTTACTACCGACACAGGGTAACGTGGTCAAGGTGTGTCGCGGTAAAGAGTGTACACCGTCAGGGGTGTTACAGTAAGGGATTAGTACCTACCGACACAGGGTGACGTGGTCAATGTGTGTCGCGGTTAAGAGTGTACACCGTCAGGGGTGTTACAGTAAGGGATTAGTAACAACCGACACAGGGTGACGTGGTCAAGGTGTGTCGCGGTAATGGGTGTACACCGTCAGGGGTGTTACAGTAAGGGATAGGTAACTACCGACACAGGGTGACGTGGTCAAGGTGTGTCGCGGTAATGGGTGTACACCGTCAGGGGTGTTACAGTAAGGGGATATTTACTACCGACACAGGGTGACGGCTTCATTTTCACTTTATTGGTATTTTGACTCTGTTAGGTTAATAAGTGTGAAACATCTACTGGGAACAGTTTAAACGGCCATTGTTTTGTGTATCATGCTGCCAACATTTCTTATAACAGTCACTTGGTCGAAGATACATGGTAGAACCTGGTAACGGGGTTATTTACTACCGACACAGGGTGACGTGGCCAAGGTGTTTCGCGGTAAAGGGTGTACACCGTCAGGGGTGTTACAATAAGGAGTTATTTACTACCGACACAGGGTGACGTGGTAAAGGTGTGTCGCGGTAAAGGGTGTACACCGTCAGGCGTGTTACAGTAAGGGGTTATTTACTACCGACACATGGTGACGTGGTCAAGGTGTGTCGCGGTAAAGAGTGTAAACCGTCAAGGGTGTTACAGTAAGGGGTTATTTACTACCGACACAGGGTAACGTGGTCAAGGTGTGTCGCGGTAAAGAGGTGTACACCGTCAGGGGTGTTACAATAAGGAGTTATTTACTACCGACACAGGGTGACGTGGTAAAGGTGTGTCGCGGTAAAGGGTGTACACCGTCAGGGGGGTTACAGTAAGGGGTTATTTACTACCGACACAGGGTAACGTGGTCAAGGTGTGTCGCGGTAAAGGGTGTACGCCATCAGGGGTGTTACAGTAAGGGGTTATTTAATACCGACACAGGGTGACGTGGTCAAGGTGTGTCGCTGTAAATGGTGTACACCGTCAGGGGTTTACAGTAAGGGATTAGTAACTACCGACACAGGGTGACGTGGTCAATGTGTGTCGGAGTAAAGGGTGTACACCGTCAGGGGTGTTACAGGAAGGGGTTATTTACTACCGACACAGGGTGACGTGGCCAAGGTGTTTCGCGGTAAAGGGTGTACACCGTCAGGGGTGTTATAGTAAGGGGTTATTTCCTACCGACACAGGGTGACGTAGTCAAGGTGTGTCGCGGTAAAGGGTGTACCCCGTCAGGGGTATTACTGTAAGGGGTTATTTACTACCGACACAGGGTGACATGGTCAATGTGTGTCGCGGTAAAGGGTGTACACCGTCAGGGGTATTACTGTAAGGGGTTATTTACTACCGACACAGGGTGAAATAAGGAGTTATTTACTACCGACACAGGGTGACGTGGTAAAGGTGTGTCGCGGTAAAGGGTGTACACCGTCAGGGGTATTACTGTAAGGGGTTATTTACTACCGACACAGGGTGACGGCTTCATTTTCACTTTATTGGTATTTTGACTCTGTTAGGTTAATAAGTGTGAAACATCTACTGGGAACAGTTTAAACGGCCATTGTTTTGTGTATCATGCTGCCAACATTTCTTATAACAGTCACTTGGTCGAAGATACATGGTAGAACCTGGTAACGGGTTTATTTACTACCGACACAGGGTGACGTGGTCAATGTGTGTCGGAGTAAAGGGTGTACCCCGTCAGGCGTGTTACAGTAAGGGGTTATTTACTACCGACACAGGGTAACGTGGTCAAGGTGTGTCGCGGTAAAGAGGTGTACACCGTCAGGGGTGTTACAATAAGGAGTTATTTACTACCGACACAGGGTGACGTGGTCAAAGTGTGTCGCGGTAAAGGGTGTACACCGTCAGGGGTATTACAGTAAGGGGTTATTTACTACCGACACAGGGTGACGCGGTCAATATGTGTCGCGGTAAAGGGTGTACACCGTCAGGGGTATTACTGTAAGGGGTTATTTACTACCGACACAGGGTGACGGGGTCAATGTGTGTCGCGGTAAAGGGTGTACACCGTCAAGGGTGTTACAGTAAGGGATTATTTACTACCGACACAGGGTGACGTGGTCAAAGTGTGTCGCGGTAAAGGGTGTACACCGTCAGGGGGGTTATAGTAAGGGGTTATTTACTACCGACACAGGGGGACGTGGTCAAGGTGTGTCGCGGTAAAGGGTGTACCCCGTCAGGGGTATTACTGTAAGGGGTTATTTACTACCGACACAGGGTGAAATAAGGAGTTATTTACTACCGACACAGGGTGACGTGGTCAATGTGTGTCGTGGTAAAGGGTGTACACCGTCAGGGGTGTTACAGTGAGGGGTTATTTACTACCGACACAGGGTGACGGCTTCATTTTCACTTTATTGATATTATGGGTGTTATAGTAAGGGGTTATTTACTACCGACACAGGGCGACGTGGTCAATATGTGTCGCGGTAAAGGGTGTACACCGTCAGGGGTGTTACAGTAAGGTTGTTGTTTTTTCTACCGACACAGGGTGACGTAGCCAAGGTGTGTCGCGGTAAAGAGTGTAAACCGTCAAGGGTGTTACAGTAAGGGGTTATTTACTACCGACACAGGGTGACGGCTTCATTTTCACTTTATTGATATTTTGACTCTGTTAGGTTAATAAGTGTGAAACATCTACTGGGAACAGTTTAAACGGCCATTGTTTTGTGTATCATGCTGCCAACATTTCTTATAACAGTCACTTGGTCGAAGATACATGGTAGAACCTGGTAACGATCAATAGGCTCGCAACCATATTCATACGCACTTTTTTTACTTTAAGAACAAACGCTATTGTAAGCTGTACAACAAACCAAATCTTAAGTTTAAGAGTGCTACTGGACAGGTTGTAACTGAAAAAAAGGTTCAACTCAGAGATGCATTTTTACTTGGAGCATTCTCTCTTATATGTAATATTAAGCAACAAATCGGAGGTTTTTCTTGCTTAAAGTGACTTCCCTTGTCCAGGTATTCATGTTAAAATGTTAACTTTTCCCGAAAGCCTTGAAACCATTAGGGATCGGTTCTCATTTTCATGCTGTGCATTTATAATTCCTGGTTAGAAACAATCGCTAATATGAGCGGATAAAGCGTGTGCAATAATTGTGCAAACATAAATAAAGTTAAAGAAAAACTCTTAATAAAGTACCTTCATAATGTCCCTATTATGCCCGACCGAAGAAAAACAGTTAAAGATAATTTATTAAAAACCGATTTTTTTCCACAAATATTACGAGTGATTGAAATGTTAGCACCAGTGCACTACGCGTAAATAAATCATTGTAAATTATATATGAAAAGCTGTAAGCTTAATTGTGATTCAGCAAAATTGACTACGTTGTAATGATAAGGTGTTGAGTGAATGTATACCTTATATTTTATTTATGATAGACATTTAAATTCTGTAATTACATGTCATTTCCCATAATTCCACATTGCTCCGTCTATTATTATCGTGTATAGAGGCCACACTATCGTGGATTTTAAGTTGAGCAGTTTTGGGTGTACTGTTACGGGGCTTGGCAGTAAGCATTGTTAAGATTTACGATTACCTGTTAATTGATAGGTTCGTCAGAACTGTAGTATGTAAAATAGTTGTTCATTTCACGAAACTACGCATACAAACATTCTCTACAACACCGCTAATTGGATTCTTAGGAGTTGCATTCTAATCCATATTTGTATACCTTTTAGTGGATTTCTACGGTAAATATATATATCTATATATATTAAACTTTTTGGAACGGTACGTGTTTTGATTCCACATGGAATAGTAACAATTCATTTAAGTGTTTAAATTGTTTATCAACAACACTTTTAATCAATGAGAAACAACTGTACAGTAGTTTTATACCATTGTAATGGTATTTCAACGAGTTTTAAAGCGACCGAGTACACATTACAGAGTTAACAAGATTATATTCACCGAATCAATCGTAATACTACTTGTACGTATGTAGAGGTGTATATCTGTTTGTGGCTGGAATTACTCACTTAGACATAAGTATCGTTAGATCGCTCAGTATACGCCAAGTTCCTTAAAGTCCGTGGCAGTCGTGTGCAACAGTGGGTTTAAGTTTAAGGTGCAGTCCTGTACCTGTTCAGGGATTTAATTAACGTTTACAGGTATATACACTTGTTTACGTGGAAGGAAATTCGCACATTTGTTATTGTTTACGACTGTGTTCAATTTGATTTAAACAAGCATCATATAACCGTAAGTATATTGTTTTTCATAATTTGTTAATTTGTGTCTAGCCAAAATTCGACTACATTAATGTATCTATATGTAGTGGTTAAAGGCAAGTTTGATATTTGTTGTGGTTTAAGCTTACAGACCAGGGGTAGAAGTATTATGAAAAGTCAGTTAATTGGAAACAAGTTTTCTAACACAACAATATATCTCCGCCAGAACTGTTAAAGGCCTGCACATTAGTGGTTAACTACCTATATTGAGGTGATGTGTAGCGTCAGAAGTCAGCACGTTCGTGTTATATCCTCGTCAACTGCACTGAGTGTTGTCACGCCATCGATCGGGCTACGTGTAGAATCACTTGATCTGTTCAATTGTTGAGGTTTCCTCCAAATTCTACCCAGGAAAGTATATTATTTAAACTTTGATAGAGAAATGTTATATTTAATTTAAAACATGTTTTTATATCAATGATGGGTTTCCTGTGATTTTTAGCAAACGGTTAAGGTGTGCATTAAAATCCTTCCAAAATCGATTTGGTAAATATATAATAGCGTACAGTAACAGGCCGTAAAATATTGCTTTTTTAATCAAATTTTTCTTTCATTACCGGCTTCTGAAGGTTCAGAAACTACATGTTCGTTATATTATTTTTTAGAATAGAGCTTTTCAAACTGACTTCCAAAGAGAAAAATACATTTAGCTAAATACATGTAGTTTCTCAGGGTAGAACTTGTCTAATCTGATTTTCAAAGAGAATGAAAAGCATTTCGTTACATTTGTTTAGGGCAGAATAGCTCTAAACTCACTTACAAAGAGACCACCATTACATTATCTGTTTTTTTAGATTTAGACTCGTCTAAACTGACTTCTAAGGGGACCAACATCTCATTTCAGCCAGGGTTTTTTTCAGATTACATTGATACAATGATACATATTTCTGGATTAGTCAGATTTTTGTAAAGTCAGGAGACAATGTACAAAATCACATTGGTCAATGGTCATGTATATGTTGGCTCCATGTCCCTAGTATTGTCTGATGTCAGCTTCCTCTAGGTACGACTTATTCACCTAGTTTCTCTTCAGGAACGAATATTTATTTTGCTCTGTATACATGTATGTGAACTAATTCAGCAATCATGCAATTAATGTGATCGATACATTCAGAAATTTGAAGATATTGATATTCAGCCATAGTAATTATCCAGCTTGATTCGTCATAAATGCCATTTCATTTAAATAAATAAACGAGTAACTGTACATAAAACACAATGTGTGATCAACACTTCGTAGATGTCTTTGCCACTTTTGGAGCTCGGTGTTTCGTTGCGCTTGTAGTTATCTTCCAGTCAAAGTCTGGTGCCTTCCGAAAAAGTACATTGTACATATCTCGGAAGATTTTGGTTAATTCAGCTGACATGTGTATGTGTGTATTGTTTAAGACACCTCAGCAATAGCCACCATTTTAAAAATGTCAATATTTTATCGCCGATCTGTGTCTCTGGAACGCTTCAAATATGAAATAGGTCATTTTTCAATAACAAAGCACATGTTCTGCTTCCCTCGGGGTACTATGTAAAAAATTCTATTACATGTCCTTCGGGAATAGAGTGGATAGGTGGTTATTGGTCCGGAACTTGCACAAAACCAATACACAGATTAAGCACCATCCTTTAAATTTGTTTAACAGCCGAATAATTTCACCACAATGTTGATATTTGAGAATGTTTTTCTATCTTGGTCAAAGCTTTGAGATGATAACGTAGCGAACACGTGGAAATCGAAACGTTGGCGAGGTCAGCCATAAAAAATGTTCATGTGCTCAAGTAGAGTTATTAGCTCGTAAAACTGACCGAAATAGAAATAGGTTTGTTTCATTTCCTTCAGTTGTTTAGCTTTATAACGTCAATGCCAAAACCCCTTACTGTTTCATCAATGCTTTTATATGCAAGTAGCCCATCGTTGTGGCAGTTCGAGCAGGTACATAGTTTGGAACAGTCTGAGGTTTAACGACGATTGCCGCCATTACTAATTTTCATTTCATTCGTAAAAAAATAACACAAAAATTAGTTCGTCGATTTCAGTTTAAATGAGGATATGTGAAGATGTACTTCCACACAAATACGCTAGATGTTTCTTAATACATTGTTATAAATATGTATACAGTTCAATGTTGTCACTGTTATGGAGCACAACTACAGTAGCGGCGGACTTATATCTTCTGGTGTGTGATTTTGTCGTCATGATAACTTGTGGTTATGAAGATATTTGCTGTAGGAGATTTTATTGAGGTAATCGTCATTATAGTTTGTAGATATTTCTCGACATTTTCTTTGGTAGCTTACCTAATTATTAATGCATATATGACGTTTGTATGTGTGACGTCACGTCCGTATTGTTTTGTTAAACTACACTGTGTAGTCGAAGGAAGACTTCGGTGTGTATGATAGTTGCGCTCAATCACACCCTACTTATTTTTCGTGAGAAACTAGTTTTCAAGACGTTTTTATACGCTGTGCCTTATTCTTCAAAATGTTGATATGGGTTATCAGTAATATGTTTCTGGAGTGAGAAACCCATAGCACTTTTAAAAATCATACTTGTCCGGTCATTTTTAGTGAAAGGGGCAAAAAGCAACCCCTGAATAAAAACAAACAGCGGGAAGCAAAAACAGAAATGAGAAAGATAAAGATTCCAATGTTTTCCATGGGTCAAATGATCAAAATAGGACTAGAAAGTATCACGGGCAGAGAGCACAGTAGAAGTATCCGATCCGGTGGCGTGGTGCACATGAGTTGTCGACTACCATCATACTGTGGTTAACACCAGACCCAAGGGACGCGTTTGCACGCTATTCCCCCTGCAGGACTCAGACTAGACTTACTTCGTCCATACAGCATGCATTAGGTCAATGATGTCCCTGTTAACTTGCACATATTGTCATTGAATTAAATGTGTGACCTTTGACTTTTGTATGTTGTTAGATCACGACAACCAATCAACAAATCAAATTGTGTTTTTTACAACAAGAATAAGTGCACCGGACATTATCTGATTAATAAATTCCCATCAAAGTTGATGGAGGTAAAATGTAGCACAAGTAAATCACGAATGTGCCATGCCTTCCATTAATATATTCAGCTAAATTAAATTTTAGCGTTTAAAAAACAAATGTGCTTACATTTTAAAGTAGCATGCATTGTACATCGGAATTTTCCCATTTCTTCGTGTGGTGTGAAAGTCGATGTTATTTTTATAATGCACATTAGAGTGCCTTGTTGTTTCGTTGTGAGGACGTGACATTACTCTGACTTGATCTAGGTTATATTGCGGGTGTCATCGATAAAGCAGAAAACGCTTACTCTTCTGAAACTTCTGGTCCTTGTACTTTTTTTGGCAATTTCCATGAATTAATTTTTCATTTGCTCAAATTTAGACATGGTTTTATTAATTTTGAGTTTGAATAACTTTTTTTTTGTTTTTGACACTTTGGTATTTTCTTGTTGTTATTTCTTGTTAGGGGTATATAATTATATTTTTCAAATGCATTTATTAAAGGAGTATGTGTGGTCTCGAAACCCTTTCAAAAATGCTTACAACTGCAAGTAAGCACTCTCCCACTGTGTTGTAGGTTGATCAACAGCTTAAATAACCAATTATAAATTTTTAAGTTTTCGAACGTGTAATTAGAGAGTGAACTGTCGAACTGGGGAAGAATTGTGTGTAAAGAGCCCCCTTGTCAAATCATTTTTGAAATGCTGACTCCCTTTATGTCTATTGCCTACACCGCATGATGCCATGACACCGGATATTCACAGACACGTGTGACAGTGGAACTCTCTAGTGTTTTCACAAATCGATTGGTGGCGATGGCGGTGTTAATTGCTGTGTCTGATTCTATGGTTATGTAAGTTGTATGAAGACACGACAGAGAGTCTGTGTCAATTACACAGGTTCTACATCTCTTCTTTATAGTGTTATAAAAAGGATATAAATAGTTATGGTTTAAATTGTCGCCTACAGCGCTTTCTCTGTTGTACTCGGGAGCGTGTATTCTAAAAATAAAAATTCCCGTATAATATTATTATGTTTCGCACTATGCTTCCTAAGATAATAATCGAATTAGTTTGGAAAATTAAAGCGCCCAATTGCGTGAATTCAGTCGAAATGAAGTACCATGTTTCCAAAGCCGAAATTGCAATTCCATGTGAAGCAGGTAACAAGAAACAGCACAAATTGAGGAATTTTATTTTGAAACGTATTATCAAGATTATAATGCACAGTGTATCTCAATTACGTTCAAACATATCAATCAACTTCCCTTAAGCTTACAACTAACGAATTCTCATTGAGATGCAGTGATAGAAAGTACCTTTGAGATCGATTTTTTACAGTAAGAGGACAACCAAAGTGTTAGGAATGGCACACGAGTCCTCTTGGAGTGATTATGTACTGTACTGTGTTCAATATGTGATGCAAATTTTACAAGCAAACCATTAACACAGATAGGAATTTTAATATGGATGATGCTTTAAATCTAAATTGAAAACTCAATGTACATTAAAATAAACTGTACTATGAGCGTTTAAATAAGGAAATAGCACAGCCCTCACAAAATGGTTCAGACATGTCAAAACGTAGGTCGGGTGCGAATCGACTGTACATGATAGTTTACCTGGCACCAAGACAGTACTACAAATCAAATGTCTCTACTTCGGATAATTTTGGACTTGTCACAGTCTGATAATCTTTTTCTTCTTTGTAATAAAAAGAACATAGGACAGGTTTACGTGATAATGATAATATCAATAATAATATACAACATTTATATAGCGCCCTGTATAGTTTTTAAAATTACTCTAAGGTGCTTCACAACATATGGATAATAGTTTTGGTTATAATTGTGAAACAGAAATGGCTGACAATCATCATTATACAATCAGCATGTATATGACGTCTGTGCATAGTCTATAATGCAGACGTGAAGAGGTGAGTTTTTATGTCTTTGTTGTGTTTGGTCAGGG